GTTTCGCAAACGGGTTGACCCAAACTAGAATTTTTTTGGATCGGGTCCGGATTGAATTTCGATTCTTGTAAAAAGTTGAAACCCCTAAAATTATATACACATTAATTTTTTTTTAAAATTTAAATTAGGGTGTCTATGTATCGCTTGGAGCTCACGCTAACGATTATATGATGCATAAGCATAACAGCATAACGCCGATTTCAGCGCAGTGGTGGTTTACTCCGTCCATTTTCGAGTTCCTGAGTTATAATAGTGCCCTAGCCTACGCCGAGTTCCCCGTCTCTCCGTCCTCGAGATATCGTCGTCGGCTCTTCCTCTGATTCGCGAACTCTTCGACTCGCCCCCAAAATTGGGCTTCTTGCTTCGCGTCTTTCTCCCTCTGTGAGTTAACTAGCTGCCATTGCTTTTGAACCACTAGGATCTACAGATATTCTATTCTACGACTTACCTTTTGTTTCTGAGGTATTCCCCATCCGACATTCTTCTTTCTCTCTTTGGAAGCTTTGGTGGGCGTTTTTTTTTTCTTTTCTTTTTTCTTTTTTGTTAGTATGGTTTGTGGCATATACTGGGTTTATCATTGTTTAGCCTTTTTCTCATTGCAAAAGGGCCTGGGTTGGGGTCTTGCGTTATTTTGTTACTGGGCATTCACAGTTGCGGTGTTGTAAAATACGGAAGTTGCTTGTTCTTTATACTCCCACTATTTGATGTTGGCTAAAGTGAAAGATAAAACTAAAATGATTGAATATTGTAAAATTTGGTTTGGCACAGGGCAGTAATTTTGCAAATTTTTGATCTTAATCGATGATTACTTGTTTTAGGTTTTGGCTTGGAAACGATATGGCCAGCCTTTCTGGGCTCGGCAGTTCATCAGCTGCTAATCCGAATCCAAACAAGTCATTCGAGGTAATGTTTGGCTTTTGTTTTATTTGCTAGGCCCTTTCCCTTTTTCCTGCATAGTTGTTTGTGGTACTGATGGTTGCTGCCGAGAAGATTCAATCGGTTATATGGCATATTGTTTAGTATTTGAAGAGTTTTATGTGATAGCAAGCTTGTGTTACAAACAACAATAGAACAAAAAAAAGTTTAGTTTAATTAGAAAGTTAATGCAAAAGATGCTTTTAGGATTAACTTATTAGCAATTTTTGTACTAGAGGTGTAACTTTGTAAGCTTATGAAAGCTTAGGAAGGGTTTGGGACTAAGGCCTTGTTTGTTTGGCCGTAATTTTTCTCCGTCTCCGATTTGAATCGGCAAAAAATTATTGTTTTGTTGTTTGTTAAGACGGTTTTTTTCAAAATACCTTCCCTCAAACCTCCGTGTTTCCACCGATCTGAGAAGAAAAAAATTTATTCATTTCCTTTTCCGATACTTCCGTTTAAAAATGAAAAAAAGGTGTCGGGGAACCAAACGAGGCCTAATTGATGATGTAAGAGCTTATTGTAGAATCTATTAATGGACTAAAGATGGACGGTTGATTTTGTTAACATGATTTGGTTAACATGGTGAGCAATTAAATTCAATTGTTTTCTTTTTCTTCTTTGATTGGGCATATGTGGGACTTCTGCCATCTCATGCTAAATATTGTACTAAGGATTAATTTCTAGACTCTGAAATATGACTTTTGAGTTTTTGACAATGATCTTAGTGTTAACATTCTAATACAACAACAACAACAACATCAAGCCTTTATCCCATAAGGTGGGGTCGGCTACATGAATACTTTTTCTCCATTATGTTATATTAAAAGTCAAATTCTTGTTTAAGTCTAATAAAGAAAGGTCATTCCTAATATTTTTTAACCAAGTCTTTTTAGGTATACCTCTACCTTTCTTAACATAAGTCAAATCTAATACCTCTACTTTCCTAACCGGCTCATCGGAAGGTCGCCGTTTTATGTGACCAAACCATCTAAGGCGACTCTCTCTAATCTTATCTTCTACTGGAGCTACTCCAACCTTTTCACGTATATGCTCATTTCGTATCCTATCTCTAAGGGTAAAGCCAGTCATCCAGCTGAGCATCCTCATCTCAGCCACACTTAACTTAGTATTATGCTTCTCTTTTAATGGCCAACATTCGGCACCATAAAGCATTGCAGGCCTCACTATCATCTTATAGAATTTTCCCTTAAGTTTGAGGGGTACATTTCTATCACATAACAAGCCCAATGCATTCCTCCACTTCAACCATCCAACTTAAATTCTGCTGATAATATCCCCATCTATATCACCATCACTCTGAACAATAGATCCCAGATATCTAAAACGCGTACTCTTATTAATAACTTGATCGCACAAAGTCACAGTCCCCTCACTAGGTCTATTACTACTAAAATTACACTCCATATATTCCATTTTAGATCTACTCAAGCGAAAACCTTTAGACTCTAAGGTTGACCTCCATAATTCAAGTTTACCTTCAACTCCCTCTCTAGTATTATCAACAAGAAGAATATCATCAGCAAAAAGCATACACAAAGGTACATACTCTTTTTTAAAGTATGACAGATTAACTTAATTCCTCTATAATTCGCACAATCTTGTGCATCATCTTTATTCTTAAAAATAGGAATTAACACACTCATTCTCCACTCATCTGACATCTTTTTAGTCTTCAAAATAGTATTAAAAAGTTTAGGTAGATTTATGTATATGCCTCATAAGTCTTCCTCATTTACAAAAAAATAAACCTTGATTTATTCAAATAAACCATCGAAATTATGTTCTTACACATTGTATGACCAAATCATTGAGAATTGTAAATGGAAATAGTTGGGTGTTAGTTGGAAATAGTTGGGTATTATTTTAAATGAAAGTAGTTGGAAATATGTAAGATTGTGGGTAGGGGTGTCAAAACCAATTGATGGGTTGTTTTCAGGCTCTATCCGAAATTGACCTGACCTGAATCCAATCAACCCTAATATGACACATTAAATAAAAAGGTCAAAAACACCAACTTGAACCTAACCCCGCTAGCAACCCGAATGACCCAAACTTGACATGTTAATCCGTTTTAGTTATTATTATCATATTTTTTATAATTCATTAACTATAAAGTTTAGGATTTTTAATAAAAAATAAGAAGATTATACTTGCAAATAAAAAGTAAAGAAAAAAGATATTTTCATATTAAAAAGGGTTTGTGGGTGAACCCAAACTCGACATGTTTAATAAACGGGTCGGAAAACCCAGCCCAAACCTGAACCAGACCCATATTAGATGGGTCATCCCAAACCAAGATTTCTCGGGTCAGGTTGGCGGGTCGGGTCATTTATTGACACCCCTAATTGTGGGTTACATAAGAAATTGCTCTTAGTATTTATTATTGTTACTCTACATTCTCCTTGCTTAAGATATCTTGTTATACAAAGTTATTGATGTCAATTGTGTGCCCCAGTTGATGGACACGGAACTCCCCTTACAATTTTAATAGGCTTGGCAAGTAATCATTTTGGGAATTTACTATGATGTATATATGCTAATGTGGATTATTATGCAGCTTGAAATGTGTCTAGCCTATTATGACATTCTTAGGATATTGAGGGGCACTTTTACAATATATTCGTTTAGCTCTAATCATGACAAAAATAAAACTTATCTTGTCAGAAGCAGATTTTTTTTGCATGAGCACAGATATAGGGTACTCCATATTAGCATGTTCCAATCTGTTTTGATATGATATAAACCTGTAAGAAGTAGAATGACTAGCTCTTTAGATGTGTAAGAAGTACACTTATGATGTTGAAGAAGTTTCTTATTTTAAAATAATAGAAGTTTACTGAAATCTTTCAAAATGTGCAAGTGCATTGAAAATTTTTATATGTTTGATATTCTTATTTGTCTTACTGGAGATGAAGCTAAAAAACATGGTAACTTGAAATCTGCTGAACTGTCTTTTTGAGAATCTTTAACTTTTGTTGCTTTTTAGCTTAATTAGAGTGATGCTTTGCCTAATTGCACATGCTTCTAAAGAATCTTTTTATTTTATTCAACTTTATTTGAAAATTATTCATATTGCGTATCTCGCTAGCGACCCCAATTTTAATGAAGTTGATAATGTTCATCTCTTCTTATATCTGTATAAACAAATTGGAATCAACATTTCAGTTACCTTTTGTGTGTTGATTTGGCATGCACTTTTTTTTGCAATGACATTTTGTTATCCATCACTCTTGTTTGGTAATTGAGCTTTCTTATAGGTGCTTCCCTCCCCTAGTGATTCTGTTTCCAGCCTCACTTTCAGTCCAAAAGGAAATTATATGGTGGCTACTTCTTGGGATAATCAGGTACTCCTGCAGAGGATACAAGCTGCAGCTGATTCAATTTCGTCAAGCAGTTCTCATTTTCTACTATTTTAGACTTGGGAAAGGTTCAATTTAAGACATTTACGATGCAGGTTAGATGTTGGGAAATTCTTGCAGGAAGCAGCCAACCAAAGGCATCAATATCACATGACCAGCCGGTAAGGTGGTGCAATTTTATTTTTTTAAATTTTTTGTAGGGATTAGCATTTTCTGCTTGGTTTTCCTTAATCCATTCTTATCTATTTTAACTGTGATGATAAATTTTCTTCCATAGGTTTTATGTTCGACTTGGAAGGATGATGGGACCACTGTATTTTCAGGTGGCTGTGATAAACTGGTCAAAATGTGGCCTTTAATGTCTGGTGGCCAACCAACTCAAGTTGCTGCTCATGATGAACCTATCAAAGAGATTGCTTGGATTGAGCAGTTGAAGTGCCTTGTTACTGGGAGTTGGGACAAAACTCTAAGGCAAGTTCAGATTGATCATCATAAGAGAAATTTCCATGCGGTTCTTCTCTAAATTCAATTTTCATTTCAGTTGTTGCATTCAACTGTATGACATGTGACATTTAGGTAGCATCTATGGCTTCAAAGGTTGATTATAAGTGATCGATATAAAATGCACCATGGGATTTATTTCTCCATTTCTTTTGCCTGTTTACGTAACTAAGTTGATAAATTTTTTTTAATGGTTTGGATAATTAGTACGGGTCATTTTGCTTTATGTTTAGTAATAAAGAAAGCTACTATCTCTCTGTGATGTGCGCCAGCACTTAATTTCAGTATGTTTAGTTGACGAGTAATTTATTTGTGAGCAGATAAAATGTTAGTATTGTTCTGTCAGGATATGATTAAACTGGGTTGTTGTTTTCCCTATTCTCTTTCTGTTGCTTAGCAATTGCTACTTCATAGTGAAGTTTAAGTTGAGTTTGAGATTAAATTAAGATACAATGACTTGCTCAAGTTTGATTTAATTTCCTTTTATTTTCCCTGTTATGAGGTTAGGCTCGCTCCATTGAACACAGTTCAACTGTCTATACAAATACTACTACAACAAGAACATCAAGCCTTTATCCCACTATGTGGGGTCGGCTATATGAATTCATGTTCTCCATTGTGTCCTATTAAGAGTCAAATTCTCATTTAAATATAATTAAAAAAAAAAGTTATTTCTAATATATTCTAACCAAGCCTTTTTAGGTCTACATTTACTTCTTTTAATATATGCGAAATCTAATACATCTACTCTCATAACCGGGTTATCAGAAGACTGGCGTTTTATGTGAACAAACCATCTAAGGAGACTCTCTCTAATCGTCTCTGCCACTGAGCTACTCCAACCTTTTCACGTATATGCTTGTTTCTTATTCTATCTCTAAGAGTAAAATCACTCATCTACTTGAGCATCCATATCTCTGCAACTCTTAACTTATTTGTATGCTTCTCTTTTAATGACCAATATTCTGAGCCATAAAGCATTGCAGGTTTCACCACCATCTTATTTAAAATTTTCCTTAAGTTTGAAGGATACTTTTCTATCACATAACAGATTCGATTTATTTCTCCACTTGAACCATCCAACTTGAATTCTACTAATAATATCACGATCTATTTCACCATTATTTCGACTAATAGACCCGAGATATCCAAAATGTGTACTCTTATTAATGACTTGTTCGCCTCGCCTAGAGTCACAATCTCCCCATTAGATCTATTATTACTAAAATTACACTCATTGTATTTGGTTTTAGATCTACTCAAACGAAAAACTTTAGACTCTAAGGTTGACCTCCATAATTCAAGCTTATTTTCAACTCCCTCTCCAGTCTTATCAGCAAGAAGAATATCATCAACAAAAATCATACATCAGGGTACATCCTCCTGCAAAATGTTTAGTAAGAACATCCATGACTAAAGCAAAAAAAGATATGGGCTTAAAGCTGATACTTGATGTAAACCAACTGAAATAGGAAAATACTTGGTTCAACCTCCTTGTGTTTGAACACAAGTAACATTTTATGCGTACATATTCATAATGACTTGAGTATAAGCATTATTAACCCCTTATTGTTCTAAAACTTTCCATAACACTTCTCTTTGAACTTTTACATAAGCTTTCTCTAAATCAATAAATATCATATGTAGACCCTCTTTATTCTTTTTATACGTCTCCATCATACCTCTCAGTAAATGTATAGCTTCCATAGTAGAACTACCCAAGATGAATCCAAATTGATTTTGAGAAACATTAGTATCACATCGTAATCTATACTCAATACCCTCCCCCAAAATCTTAAAGTATGTCACATTAACTTAATTCCTCTATAATTCTCATACTCTTATGCATCACTTTTACTCTTAAAAATAGGAATCAACACACTCCTCCACTTATCTGACATCTTTTTAGTCTTCAAAATAATATTCAAAAGTTTCGTAAGCCAAGAAATTCCTTCATCTCCTATGCATTTCCACACCTCTATTGAAATATCATTAGGTCCAATTGCTTTTCCATATTATTAATTAGTTTTTCTTTTGATACTCCAAGCACATTCTTTGTAACATTCTTAATATTATTAATTATTTTTTTCCACATAACATTAGCTTCCTCATGCACAATTAGAATCTTAAGATCTTGAATCTTATTCTAATATATATAGTATTATTTAAATGCTCCCATATAATCTTAGGATAATATTTTACTTTATTTTTTATATTCTACCCCTTTATCTTAAACTCCAAGACTAATAAGTGATGCTGGTATATAAAATTTCACTCGAAATAACTTTACAATCTTTGTAATCTAAAAGATCTATTTTTCTTATATGAAAATAACAATTTAAGTTTTATTATATCAATTTTTACAAGTGATGAGATGCTTATCTCTTTTCTTAAATATAGTGTTCGTAATTATAAAATCATAAACTAGAGAAAAATCTAATATAGTCCTACCATTTCATTAGTTGCTCCAAACTCATAACCACCATGAATGCTTTTAAAATCTTCTACTTCTCTGTATCCAATAAAAATACTTTCTTCAAGAGGTATCTTTTGTATTAATTCTTCTAAGTCATTTCAAAATTTTGATTTTGAATATATATCCAAACCTACTTGAGGAGCATAAATACTTATGATATTAGTAATCTTGGCATCAACAACAATATTTAAAACTATAATTTTATCTCCACAACAACAACAACAACAACATCAACATCAAGTCTTTATCCCACTACGTGGGGTCGGCTACATGAATCCTTTTTCTCCATTGTGTCCTATTAAAAGGTCAAATTCTCGTTTAAATCTAATAAAGAAAGGTCATTCCTAATATTTTTTAACTAAGTCTTTTTAGGTCTGTCTCTATCTTTCTTAACATAAGTCAAATCTAATACCTCTACTCTCCTAATCGGGTCATTGGAAGGCCACCGTTTTATGTGACCAAACCATCTAAGGCGACTCTCTCTAATCTTATCTTCTACAAGAGCTACTCCAACCTTTTCACGTATATGCTCATTTCGTATCCTATCTCTAAGGGTAAAGCCACTCATCCACCTGAGCATCCTCATCTCTGCCACACTTTACTTAGTATTATGCTTCTCTTTTAATGGCCAACATTCAGCACCATAAAGCATTGCAGGCCTCACTACCATCTTATAGAATTTTCCCTTAAGTTTGAGGGTTACTTTTCTATCACACAACAAGCCCGATGCATTCCTCCACTTCAACCATCCAACTTGAATTCTGCTGATAATATCTCCATCAATTTCACCATTACTCTGAACAATAGATCCAAGATATCTAAAATGTGTACTCTTATTAATGACTTGATCGCCCAAAGTCACAATCCCCTCACTAGGTCTATTACTACTAAAATTACACTCCATATATTCCGTTTTAGATCTACTCAAGCGAAAATCTTTAGTCTCTAATGTTGACCTCCATAATTCAAGTTTACTTTCAACTCCCTCTCTAGTCTTATCAATAAGAAGAATATCATCAGCAAAAAGCATACACCAAGGTACATCCTCTTGCAAATGTCTAGTGAGAACATCCATGACTAAAGCAAAAATATATGGGCTTAAGGCTGATCCTTTATGTAACCCAACCAAAATAGGGAAATACTTGGTCAAACCACCTTGTGTTTGAACACAAGTAATAGCTCCTGCATATATATCTTTAATGATTTGAATATAAGCATTATTAACTCCTTTCCTTTCAAGAACTCTCCATAGCACTTCTCTTGGAACTTTATCATATGCTTTTTCTAAATCAATAAATATCATATGTAGATCCTCCTTATTTTCTCTATATTTCTCTTATTTCTATAATTTTATATCCAATTCTATTAATTTCTACTACATTATCCTTCAAACTCTTATCTATAATCACACATACCCTAATTGGCTAATTCTAGTACTTCTCATACCCGAATACCATAATTTAAACCATAAACTATCAATCTCCATAGTCTTCTGTCTAAGACTCTAACCCGTTTAGTTTCATGAATGCATTGAATACTTATTTTCATATGAATCATAATATCTTTTAATTCCATTAATTTGCCTGTAAGTGAACATATATTACAAGTTCCTATCATAATTCTATTTTCATGGACTAGCTTCTTTGCCCACATCCGTCCGTGATGTGGGAACATGTTAGAACAGTCTCTGGATTATTGGTCCAGCCGGTCCAATCCAACTTGAGCCGGCTAAGTTTTATCGGTCCCACCCCTGTGGTTTTGGCCCCTCCAGCCATATTGAATGAAGGATTTAATGTGGTTTAGGAGGGAAAATTGAAAGGATGGGCTGTTTAGGGATATCCATTTTGATTGTATTCTTTTAAGGAAGAAAATTTCCTAGGGTTAGGATATCTTGTATTTGCTGAAATTTTGAGAGTTCTTAGGTTTTTGTTTGGGCTCTAGCTGCCGGCTAGAGATTGGGGGTGCCAAATCCTCCTCTCTAATTGAGGATCCATTATATCTTATTTATTTCTTCCCTATTTCATCTATTACAAAGTTTCCCTTGCAATTCATCTTATTCTACTTGTGGTTTGTGTTAGAGATTGTTGAAATTTAATTTCAACCAAGTATGATATTGAGTTTTACAAGCATTTCCTATAAGAACCATTGTTTATTTAACACTATACCTGGGTGTCGGTGCAGCATCGCTTGCACACTTCTCACTATATTCAGGTCATACAACGCATCGATTTCAGAGAATGTCCAAGCATTAACACAATGTATTACATGATTCATTTCATGATTATTTGATAAATTTTACGTTGATTGTTGACTACCTAACACTTCCATTTTTTTTCTCATCTAAGACTTGAGACATGGCAACGAAGTGTTTCAATTGTCTATATAAATGATTTGCAAAAATTTAATTAAACTAGATATCTGCGCATTGCAAAAATTCATTGAAATTTAGTTTAGTCATATAAGGAAGCATGACATTTAAGCATGAATGAAAGGAGCATCATACTACAATTTTTTGCAAAGCAAGTTTTGTTGGCATTGCTTCTAGCTAGACATGTGATATATTTTTGTTGTAAGCTGCAATATATAATAAGACACATCTTCTTTCCAATGAGGAGAATCCTTTTAAGTGTGTGGTATGCTTTGTTACTTTTCCATGCTCTAAGCTTTGAATGTTGTTCAAGCTCATGAGATCATTTCTACTGGAAGTTTGTTTTAGGGTGTTATTTTCCACAGATATTTCTCCCTGAATATGTTGTAGTCATAGAAGCGTTTCAAAGTAACAAGCACAAATACAATACTGTCCTATTGTTTAGTCCTAAAATGCTGAATGCTTTGTGCCCACTTCAGTTACAGCGCTATTTTTGAATTTTTAGCACTAGTGTCTATTCGCAATGCACAAAATAAAGTGAGAAGGATTTCATTGCTTTGATGTCCAAAGCACTATTTTGGTTCATGCACTTCAATTCTCCAAATCACACGCTCACCGTTTGTTTGGTGAGCGCTGCATGGATGTCAAGACATATGAACCACAATTTGTTGGATCATTTAGAGTGTTAGCTGGCTCTGACCCTTACATGAAAAAAAGGAGGAATACCGAACATGATGTAGAACGGGAGCGGCTTTGCTAGGGAGAGGTGGAGATCCTCCACCCGATGCCTTCGAAGTGTTCGTCGATAGCTTCTACCAAAGTATCTAGGATCCGTTTCAAGTAATCTTCAACGGTGTGGTCAATCTCCAGATTCACGTCGAAGAAGGTGGATCGTAGGATGTCGGTGAAGCCGTCGTCGTCCCAAGTTATCCCATACTCAGTCGCCGGATCCGCCATTCATGGATAATTAAATGTATAATCTCCTTAGCACTTAATAGGACTCTTGAATGCTAGCAAGGAGAGAGGAAGTAAGCTGGAGAGCCATTAATGTGATAGATTTGGATTTGAAGATTTGGAAAGGATATTTTAAATCCAATCCAATTAGAGATTAATGTGGATTTGATTTGAAAACTTTCCAAAAATAGAGTTCTAAATTTGGAAAGATTTCAAAATTCAAATTTGATTATTTTGGGGGTGGGATTTAGAATGAATTAGGTCATGCTAATTAATTCAAAATCCAATGGAGGGAAATTTGAAAACTTTCCTAAAGAGATTTTATAATTTATGAAAGAATTTGAATTTCAAATTTGGGGAAGTTTGAATTCAAAGACCAACTAAATTATGACAATCTGAGAAAGCCTAACAAATTAGAAAAAAAGAAGAATAGCAGAAATAAAGAATTGGTGCGCCTTGATGGAGATCTACATGGCCTTGCTTTAGAAGCATGCACATAGAAACTTTTTTGACAACTCTTAGTCATAGAATAACTATTCTTTAATTTATATTCAAACTAATAAACATGCCTTTAGGAAGTGTTTTGAAAAAAACTCCATGATGTTTTTTGCATGTTAATTTTATTAGTTCATTGGGATATTACCTATGTAGAAAAGTTTTTCAACTGAAAAGTTTTGTGCTATGTATGCCAATTACTGAGATTTAAAGAAATATTAACCATAAATTCTCAAAAGTGAATTGTGTTTATTTTTTCATAAACTAATCCGGAACTGCATCTAATTTAGGCTTTAAAAAGTTAAGATAGAGGGAAAAACAAGTTTTGTTATAATGTTGATTGCTCTTACTGCTTTCAAGCAATTCATGTTACATACTTGCAGTCACTTTTTTCCATGGTTCTTATATTTTTGGTTAATTCTCTAAACTTGATGGTTAATTAGCCTTCAGTATTTTGATCATTTGTAAATACCTCTCTTTTGAACCTACGTTAGGTACTGGGATACTAGGCAAGCACAGCCAGTTCATACTCAGCAACTTCCTGAAAGATGCTATGCTCTAACTGTGCGGTATCCTTTGATGGTTGTTGGCACTGCAGACAGAAATCTCATAGTTTTTAATTTACAAAATCCTCAGGTATGATGGATACATATTAGGTTGAGTTACTTTATTAAATTAAATTTATAATTGTAATTTATTTGTGAGGTATCGAGGTGGCTTGTGTTCATGGAAATTTATCATTAATTGGAGAAACTTATAGTTTTTTTCCCTTCTTAAGTTTGTTTTGACGTACCATTTTAATGCTGCAGATTCAATATTACACTTTTATTCTTTAGATAATGTCCTTTATATAGTATACTCTGGTCTTGATCATTAACCTGTCTACTGTTGGCTTTCTTCTTTCGTGTATACTGTATTGTTTTCTAGCGTAGATTTGAGGAGAATTTCTTGTTCCATGCTGCATCAAGATAATTGAAAAACTATTTCTCTCTAATTAAATTGTTTTTTTAGCTTGGTCCATTTAAATATTAGCGGAATCTAACCTTTTCTTGTTATGATGAAACAGGCAGAGTTTAAGAGAATTGTATCTCCTCTCAAGTACCAAACAAGATGTCTTGCTGCATTTCCAGATCAACAAGGGTTTTTGGTAATTACATTATTTTTTAATGGAATTGCTGTTGAGTTTTAAACGTAATTCAATGATGATTCAAGATAGTCCTGCCGCAACTTAGGTCCCTCTTTATCGCATTTTGTGTTAGAAAGAAAAATATTGAGCCTTTTTGAAGAAATATTTCCTTGAAATATTGTTTAAATCAAGAAAAAGATTTCTTTCTGTTGTATTATTGTGAAAGAGTAAAAATAATGTCATTATGTTGATATTGCTATTCATTTTTTTTTCAAATTGCTGGACTCGTCCCAGTTGCCAAGTAATGTTGCAAATCAGCATGTCTTCAGATTATTCTTAATGAAATCATCCATGTCTTATGAAGCACGGAAATAGGTATGGGGACTTGACAATTGCAAAAAATAGAACACGCTGTTTTATTTTATAAATTATTAACATAAAATTCATAATTTCTACTAAAGACAACACTGATGAAATACGAAATCATATGAAACTTTATAATGATAAATGAAAACAAACATGATTATAAATAAACTAAATGCTTTATCATTCGAGCATGTATTAATCATTTTCAGTTTTCACATATTTCGCCAATATTAGTATTACTTTCAAAATGTCAAAAAACCTCAAAAAAAAAAGTAAATATGAGTGTCTAGAATCCAATAATTTTCTCCTTTTGGGTCATAACCTTCGATCCTAAATAGTTGTTTGCTCAAATGTGAGTTATAATAGTAGCGGAGCTACTTTGCCTAGAAGAAGGGGAACCTTTTGAAAAGATAATATATTTTTTTTGGCTCAGCATTAGCATCTACCTTTTACTCATAAGGGTTCTCTGCCCACACTAGGAGAGTGTGAAAGGATGAAGGGTCTCTGCCCACACTAGGAGAGTGTGAAAGGACGGACGGTTCTCTTTCAACACTAGGGATTGTGTAAAAGGATGACGGTTCTTTGCCGCACCGGGTAGTGGTGAAAAGAGTGTTTTGTAAAGGCTTCTCCGCCTTGCTGTGGGTGTAGAAGGAGAGTCACTTTTGGTATTAGTGCAATACTCAGAGGGTGCCTCTGGGGAGTGGATGTAGGTCTGGTTTAGACCGAACCACTATAAATCTTGTGTCATTTACTTTACTACATTTTATTTTCCGCATTTTACTTTAGTTTAAAAACTCTGTGGATGAAAAACTTTTCTATAAAATTTAATAAAAAATTTTTATTTGTGTTCAACTCATTTTCAAAAAGAGGGTTAAATCTTTAAACTGCCAATTCACCCCCCCCTCTTGGTAGCCTTGGGACATTAACTTAGGTCTAACAACCTATTCACTAGACTCAACATCCATCATCCAGACATCCATCCAGAGCAATTATTTGGATGATATTCATTGAGTTGAACTAATCGTACAAGATGATGTACTATTATCTTGGACAATATTGGACGATTAGTTGCTAATTAGGGAAAAATTTGAGCCCTTGTTTAAAAGATGTCATATTTTTTCAAGGAAATATCTTTTGCTATTTTCACAACCTGAGAGAGCCAAGTGAGAGGGAGAGCAATGGAGAGAGAGAGGATATTGTGAGGGAGAGTTTGTGAGGGTTTCACAAAGGTTGCTCCGAGCAAGGATATGTCGATGTCTTCTTCATTCATCATACCTAGTTCCTTAGGGGTTCTAGAGAGGTCTACTTCAACATCTGATCAAGGTTCTCTGTCTATTTTAGGAAGAAGCAAAAGGACTTGGGTTCTCTGGTTTCTTCAGGAGGAAGCAAAAGGAGTTGGGTTCTCTGTCTCATTAGGATAGGTGGAAAGGAGTTTTTGTATCGGCTTCTCCTCCTTGCTATGGAGGCAAAAGGAGAGACACTGTGTTTAGTACAATACTCAAAGGAGAGGCTCCTAGGAGTGGACATAAGTCCGGTTGTCCTAACCACTATAAAATATGGTGTGTTCTTCCTTATTGTACTTCCGCATTTAATTTTCGCACTTTTATTTATATGGTAAATCTTGGTTTGGTTGTGATTATGCTTTTACTTATAGAATTTTTAAAATACCAATTCACTCCCCCCCCTCTTGGTTAGCCTTGGAACTAGTTCATTAGGTCTTAACATCCCTATCAAACTTTCACACCCTTATGAACATGATTAGCAAAAGCAACACTAAGAGTACCATGACTATCTCTAGTAACCCCACCATAGCCCAAGGAGGAACCACTAAGAGCACCGTCCACATTTAGCTTATAGAAATTATTGTGGGGCTTGATCCAATAAATAACCCTAGGCACATTAGAATTAAGACAAACCTCCTAAATAATACCTAAAGTAGAAGCAGCAAAATAATAGTTTTTAAAGTTCTTAACAGAGAGCATATTAACACATGATGCATATTCTCCACATGATAGTAATATTGACACTTAGAAGGAAAAATAAAACCTCTTTTAATTAAGTTATCATCCATAGGAATGAACTTATGAAAAATCCTCCAGACAAAGACAACCACAGTGGAAGGAATACTTTTATGCCAAATCATAGAAAAGATATTATCAACATCCATCTTAGCTAAAAGTATTCCAAGCATCTAGTAATCTAAATTCACCATCATTGGAAAAATCACATAACATTAAATCATGAGAGTTCGTATTCAGGGGAAGGTTTAAAAATTGTTGAATAACAAGGTCAGGAATAAGGTTAGCAAGTTTCTAATAGTCCTAATAATTAGATTTAATAATAGAATCAATAGACTGGTCACCCAACCACTGGTCTTGACAAAAGAAAATATTACTATTACTAAGCCCCCAAGAGATGAAGGGCTCAACCGCCCATTTAACTTTGTAGAGTCTTTGCCAAACTTTAGAATTACCTTGGTTGAAACAACAAGCAGTAGGGTGTTTACTCACATATTACTTTCCAAACATAAAATTAGCCCAAAGGCTCACTTTAGCATGAAAGTTGTACCACAGTTTGAACGAAAAAGCATAAGCTAAGTCATTCATACTCTTACAACCCAAGGCCCCTTCTTCCAACACACCATAGCATTTGTCCCAAAAGGACTATATAATTTTGAAATTGCTAATAGACCATGTCCAAAAAAATTTAGTAATAAGTTTATCAATTATATTACAAACCACTTGAGTAGGTAGCATAATTTGAAAAATATAAACGGGCAAGGAATATAGGACACTATTGATGAGAATAAGTCTACCCCCACAGCTCAGAAAATTAGAGTCCCAAGATAAAATCTTAGTTTTTACATAAGTAATTAAATCATCAAAAAGAAAAGTTTTCTTTCTGCCTTTAAAAAGAGGCCCCTCTAAATAATTAATAGGTAAATGACCATGCACAAAACCATTTTAGTCTTTAATATCCACAATGCGATTTTTATACACTCTCTTGGGGGAAATAAAATATCACTTCTTTTTATTTAGAGAACGACCACTAACCATTTCAAATTAATGAAAGAAATCTATAAGTTTATTAATCATGTTAACATAATCATTAGTAAAAATAATAAAGTCATCAACAAAATATAAGTAAGAAATAAGAAGATTGCCCACAGTTCAAAAATAAAGGCTAAGATAATTCTGAAAGAGGTTGGTAAGACATCTAGAAAAGCAGTCAATCGCAATAATGAAGAGGGTAAGAGAAATCGGGTTGCCCTTTCTCAAACCATGAGAGGATTTGAAAAAACCATTGCTATCATCGTTAGCAATAATAGAGAAATATAAGCCTTCAATGCAATTTCTAATAAGCTTAATGAAAATAGATTCAAAAATAAAAATAGTGCAAAATATTATAAAGAAAGTTCTTATTAAGGTTATCATAGGCCTTAAAAATATCAAAGTTTCAAAATCAAGTTACCACCTCTCACCCTAACGTCTAGATCTTGAAAAAATTCATTGGCCAACATAATATTATCAACAATAACTTCAATATTCGTAGGATCCTTTCATAAATCCCAAATTATATTAGCCACATTCAAAATAGCATGCTTAAAACCCAAAAAATGAGAAGTACTAACGAACTTAGGAGAATAAATATAAGGTTCAAGAAAGACAAATTTACAAACATTATGAATAAGACATAAATTCTTAACTCTTAACCTTGAGGAGGGACACCCAATGCCCCTAACATTCCAAATTGTATAATTAAACATATAAATAGACTTAATGAGAAGTATCCGAACGGGTGGTTTTAGGCGATTGAAAAATGTTCTTTTTCTTCTGTATCAGTATAATATTTAGCCATCATATCCATTTCCTTTATATCGGTAAAAGCATCACAATCATAATGAGAATTTAAGGGAATCTTTCTATCATCATTTAAACCTTCCTGTCTAATCTCCTACTACAATTAACCCTCCTCAAAGATATAGCATCCTCCACATTATCTTTGCTTCTTAAGTCACTACCAAGATTACCTTCTAGCACACAGATTTGGCCTTCCTCCTGAGAAAGAGTAGTAGTTTAAGTAGGCAACATATCAGGGAATTTATTATTTGACATCATGATATTTATGTAAGGAAAATTTTAATTAGTAACACAATGAGTAATTAATGAAGATGAAGCAATATTTTAATTAGTAGCAATAGCCAACATATGCTCATCCACGTTATGACATTCATTATTAACAACAAGGGTATAATTTACTCCCTGAATAGAAATTGGATCATCATTATGGATGGAATGTGGTTTGTTATGCGTTAAGGTAAAAACAATTGGGTCTTTTGTAGCATGCTTCACATTAGTACCATTACCCTCAACCATGTCAAGAATAGATTCATCAATAGTAACCTATATATGAGGACTGTTATCCTCAACCACAATCTTATTAGGCTTCATAATATCAAGGTCAATAGAATGACCACCATTCCCATGCAATGGTTTGGTTAAAACCTTCTCCTTTAAGAGTTTCTAAAACATCATTTAACTTATGACCACGCATCTTGTAGAGAGAGCAAAAAATGGGTTAGTTTTAAATTTCCACTTTTTGGAAATACCCATTCAATTGTGAACCAATCCAAATATTTGTAGGATGTTTCTTAGAAATATCCAACTCGATCAAAATGAGAGCCACAAATGGCCTAGATATAGAATCCCTAGCTTGGTTAATTTGCAGTGGCCTACCATTGATTGAAGCCAAACAAAAGAGGATCTGAGAATTAAAAAAATGAAAACATAAGTTTGGGAACAAAATCCAAATAGGGGCAATATGATATTCCTCCCACACATCAAAATCTTGAGTCCATTTCAAAAATCTCATTTGATAAGTTTGTATATATTAATATATTCTTGAGAAAATATGACTGTAATCGAGATTGTTATTCAACTTAATCGCTATATGATGTGGGTATAACAAGAAAATGTGAAAAGAGCTAGATAATTTGAGGTTAACAAAAAACTTTTGAATAACATCCAAATTAGGCCGATGAAGAACAAACTTGCCGGCCAAAGTATGAGCAAAAGACACAGCTAGTTACAAGATAAATGAGTCAACGAACATCAAAGCTAGACACCCTTTAAAAGAGGTTTGAAAAAAAATTAAATTTAGTAGAAGTTGACAAAAGGACTTGCCAAGACATTCTTAAAAGACCGCAATTTCCCATCAAGAATGAAGAGGGACCAGGGTTAGATGTCGATGGGGACGTCATCTACAAAAACCAGCAAAGATGAAAAAATCCTCAAAACAAACTGCAAGACACAGAAAGCAAACCAACAGGGAAGATATCACAATGAAAAAAAAAAAACAAAAAATGATGTCAGGAGTGAAGTGATGAAGTGAGAGAGCAAAGCCTTAAATCACCTCGAAATTGCTAGAGTAGAGAGACGTTGCATTTTGTAAGATCTGGTGACCTGATTGTGATTGTGTGTTCATTTATATGTGTATGAAGGGTTAGTGGAACTTTGATTTGTGAGAGCAATGTAGAAACAGAGCGGAGGAGAGAAACAGGGACAAGAATGAAAAGAGAAAATAATCTTTCATTGAACTAAGCCTATTACGGAGATGACTTTAAATAGACAAAAGCCTTGGTAAAGATGTAAATACAAGAAGCACTAATAAGTATAGTTCTGTATGTGCTAATAGCCTCCCTCAAAATAAGCATTCATTGTCCGAATGGTTAATTTGCTGTGTAGTTCGTGGAAGCGAGTGATTAAAAAGGGCTTTGTGAGGATGTCCGCAATTTGGTCTTTGGAGGAGATATGCGCCAGCTGTATGTTTCCAGAGCTTATTTGCTGACTAATAAAATGGTAGTCAATCTCGATGTGCTTCATTCTTGCGTGAAACAACGGGTTTTTGGCTATAGCCATTGCTGAGGTGTTGTCGTAATGAATTGTGGTCAGTGAGGGCTGTGGAAGGTCGAGTTCGGTTGTGAGCTGACAAAGCCAGAGCATGTCCGAAGCGACAGTAGAGAGGGACCTGTACTCAACTTCGGTAGTAGATTTAGCTACCCTTGCCTGCTTTTTGACCATCCAAGAGATGAGGTTTGGTCCTAGAAATGTACGAAAGCCCGAGACAAACTTTCGATTGGAAGCCTCGGATTCCCAGTCTGCATCGAAATAGGACCATAGTTCAAGTGACCCGACAGTGATGGGTTGTCTTAACGATAGAGTACCCTTGATGTATCGCAGTAGATGTTTCAAAGCTTTGTAGTCTTGTTCGGTTGGGGACTGCATGTGTTGACAGATGCGGTTTGTTGTGAAGGCTATGTCCGGTCTTGTGATGGAGAGATATTATAGTGACCCGGTGAGACGACGGTATAGAGACAGATCCAAAAATGGTTGAAGATTGGGTTCCTTCTGTTTTGTGGTAGGCATGACCGGAGTTGGAGTAGCTTTGTAATCCTTGTAGCCTGTGTCGTTGAGTATTTTAGTAGCGTAGTGTTCTTGAGACAAGAAGTAACCATGAGGGGATCGAGTCACCTGAATTTCGAGAAAAAGCAAAACGTGGCCTAGCTGCTTGAGGGAAAACTGAGAATGTAGTTGTTTTAGGAGAAGTCGAATAGTGGTCTCGTCATTTCCTGTCACCAAGAAATCATCAACATAGATTAGTATATAGATATGAATGTTATTTTTGTGAAAAATAAGGAGAGAAGGATAGGAATGACTGAACCCAAAGCCCTGTTGTTGTAGAAAGCCGGTGAGTTTTTGAAACCATTGCTGCGGAGCTTGTTTCAGTCCATAGAGGGACTTGTGCAGTTTGTAGATTGTGTGTGGTTGGGTTTGGTCGGTGAAGCCGGGTGGTTGTCTCATATAGATGTCGTCAGGCAGATCTCCGTGTAAGAAGGCGTTGGAAATGTCGAGCTGATATACGAGCCATTGACAATGGAGGGATAGCATGAGCAGCAGCCGGATAGTTGGCATCTTCGCGACAGAGCTAAAGGTCTCGTTGTAGTTGATGCCAAATTTTTTATCGTAGCCGAGGGCGATGAGCCATGCTTTGTAGCGCTCAACTTGTCCATTGGGAAGAGTTTTGATTTTGTATGTCCATTTGCAGCCTAGTATGGGTTTGTCGAAAGGAGGGGGAATGAGAGTCCACGTAGATTGTTATGGGAGAGCATCATACTCAGCCTTCATAGCTGACCGCCAGTGTTCTGATTTCAGTGCTTGAATGTAAGTGTTGGGTGTGTCGGGCGAAGTTAATTGATCTAGCATATTGAACACGGGATTGGGTTTGATAATCCCGGACTTGAGGTGAGTTTGCATCGGGTGAGCTGGGGCAATTGGGTGGGTTTGAGGTGTGGACTGGATGGATGCGGGAGTTGCGGGTGAGGGACGGTGGGTGTCCAGATTGGAGACGGTGTAAGCGTGAGTGTTAGGATTGGTTGTGACATTGGATTTTGACTGGGTAACAAAGATTGAAGTTTTAGAGATGTCGGAGAAGGGTGTAAGGAGGAGAGGCGGTTTGTGCGAGTGGGTTGAGTATGGTGCTGTGGGAGCTGTTGTAGATGGTAGTTTAAGAGGAAATTGTTGCTCATAAAATATGACATGTCTGGATATGTGGGTGCATCCAGTGGTGGTATTATGACAGAGGTAACCTTTGTGATACAGAGAGTAGCCAATGAAGATACAGGGATGAGAGCGCGGGGATAGTTTGTCTGCGGAATAAGATTTCAGCCAAGGATAGCACAGGCATCCGAAAGTACGAAGGTGAGTGTAAATCAGCGGGTGATCATGAAGGAGTTGGTAAGGGATCTTGTGGGAGATGGATTTGGATGGAAGTCTTTTAATTAGGTAGTGACCAATTGAGAGAGCAGAGGTCCAGAACTTGGGCGGTAACCCAGATTCGTGTAGAAGAGCACGGGTTAGGTCTAGCAGATGGCGATGTTTCTTTTCGACGAGGCCATTTTGCTCTGGCGTGTGCGGACAAGTTAAGTGATGTAGAATGCCATTGTCTTGTAGGTAGGAACGGAACACATGGCTAGTGAATTCTCCACCGCCGTCGGAGCGGAGGATTTTTGGAGTTTTATTGTATTGAGTCTTAGCGAGACTGCATAAATTTTTAAAAGTATTTAGAGCTTCATTTTTAGTGTGGAGAAGATACAACCAAGAGAATCTAGTATCGTCGTCAATAAAAATTATGTAGTATCGGTGACCATCCAGGGAGGGGTATAGTGTCGGACCCCAGACATCGGTATGAATATGTTCAAACGGGGCATTAGTAACGGACATTCTTTTATTGAAAACAAGTTTGTGGCTCTTGGCCTGATTACAAGAATTGCAAAAGAATGAGTTGGGTACATTGTTGATTTCGGGGACAGCCGAGCAAGAACACTGAGAGTGTCTTTGCTAGGATGGCTGAGACGAGAGTGCCAGACGTGCGTAGAGGAGGTGGAGGCCGTGAGTGTCGAGTGCTTATTGTTCGGAGCCATGCTAATATGGTAGAGACCGTTCCGAAGTTGGCCATGAAGCAGTGGACGGTGGTCCTGTAGGTCCTTGATGACAAAGCCGTTAGAATCGAATGAAATAGAAACAAAGTTATCTGATGTAAATTTTGAGACAGAAAGAAGGTTTTGGGTGATGGAGGGTACATGAAGAAGATTGTTGAGTTGTAACTTATGGGATGTGCTTGGTAAGGGGAGAATGCCTTGACCGACACTATTGATAGGAAGAGAGTTATCGTTAGCTGTCAAGACCGTGTACGCACCTTGGTAAGCCATTGGATAATATAGGTGATTAGCATCCGGCGTGAGGTTTGTGGATGCTCCGGAGTCAAGAATCCAGTCTTGGCTAACTGTGGCAGTGGGATTTGAAAAGAGAGCCCACGATTATCGTGTGTCAGTGGGTGAATATTTGGGGTTGCTGCAATGCCAGCAGTTGAGCGCGATGTGGCCAAGTTTGCCATAAATTTGGTCGATTGCAGTGCAGGAGTGTTGAGCGAAAAGGCAGAAATGGGCTGAGATTTCGGCTGAGTCATGGGTTTGTTGAAGCGTCGATTATTACCATTGCGGTATTGAGAGGAGTTGGCCAGGGCAGCATAAAGAGCGGTGGGGGTGGTGATATTTGATTGTTCTTGAAGGTTTTCTTGCTGTAGGTGAATTTCTTCGTTGCATAGGAGGGCGTAAAAGGTCTCAAGATCAATAGGTAACAGCGAGTTGCGAATGGTAGATTTGAACGAATTGTACATTAGAGGGAGCCCGTTGAGAATATGCAACATGACGTCTTCTATTCAATCTTGGAACTGGAAGCAGAGATGTTGTCCACTATAGTCTTGATGCAGGTGAGGTACTGTTGTACCGAGAGGTCCTTCATTTGGGTGCGATATAGCTCGTTATTGAGCTGGATCACACGGGAGCGACTGGTCGGTTGAAGGCGTCGTTCAAGAATAGTCCAGTCCTCATAGGCGGTGGAGGACGTGATGATGTACAGTAGTATGGATTGAGAGACCGTACAAAAGAGTGCGGAGAGGAGGTTGCTGTCAATGACGAGCCATTGGGCATAGTCCGTAGAGTTGGTGTCTAGAGGAGCTTGGAAGGTGCCAAGGAGATGGCCGGCGAATCCATTTGCCGTGAATTGCTTGAGCAGTTGGACACTCCACAGATGATAGGTTTCGGGTGTGAGAGGATGAGGAGCAAGATTCTTGATATTGGATACAAGAAACTTTACGTTTGGAGGAATGCTGGTGGACATGCCGGTGCTGCCGGTTTGGGTGGAGGAGGTGGTGGAGGAGGAAGGGTTTGAAGAGTCCATGGGATCTTGATCTTTCCTGGCGGCTCTTGTTACCATGAGAGCAATATAGAAACAAAGTGGAGGAGAGAAACAAGGAATAGAATGAAAAGAGAAAATAATCTTTCGTTGAACTATGCCTGTTACAAAGATGACTTTAAATAGATAAAAGCCTTGGTAAAGATGTAAATACAAGAAGCACTAATAAGTATAGTTCTGTATGTGCTAATAATTTAAACCCATATAACTTAGTGTCACCTTTATGAAAAAAAAACAAATAAAGGACTTGTTTAGAAAATTTAGATTAATTTTACCAATGAAAATTATATATCTAACAGGCATGAAACTTGAACCATTTAGCTTAGTACACCTTTTTGACAAAAAAATAAAGGGTTTATTTAGGAAATTTAGATTAATTTTATCAATTAAAATATATATCTAATAGGCATAAAACTTGGACCATTTAAATATAGTGACAACTCTAGCCTTATGAAAAATTCCCACTGATTTCAAAATTCATTTAGCAATTTAACAAATTAATTCAAGTTTAACCCATCAATTAAGCCATAAAATTCCAAAAAAGTTTACTAAATTCAAATTTAATCATAAAAGTATAAGTAATATTTAAAATTGACTAGAATTAAATCCTTATCTAAGAAAATTGAAAGCCCCTTGATTTGACATCAATTTAAAGATTAATTTAATTTCTAATAAATTTATTATTTAACTAATTAAAAATAATTAAAAATTCTAAAAAAGTCTCAAACACTTGAGTGCATCTCCTTAGGATATTTTGACCTTTAAAGATGATTTTAAGAAGTTTTGAGTTCATTTGGATTCAAATCATCAATTATATTTAATTAAATAATTTTAAAAATTCAAATAAATATCCAAACTTAAAAGAAAACATAACTAATGCTAAAAAATTCCAAATTGTCCAAACTCAAATTCATTCAACTCCATTTAGGGTCTAATATTTTCTAAAAATTTGAAACATTAAAATATTAGTCAGAGTAAAAAAGTTAACAAATTGGTCAAATGTAGTTCAGCAATAGGTCAAACTTCCAAAATGCATAACTTAATGTAGAAAGATCAAAATCTAGCAAACATAGAAACTAATTACTCCATTTAAATTCTAGTATTTAGGAAAAATATTAAATTTCTAGAAATCAACCTTAATAAAAAAGTCAAATTTTGATCACTTTAATTAATACCTTTAAATAATTAAATAAATATTAAAAAATCAATAATCAACTAAAATTATATAAAATTCTAATTACACTTCTAAAACCAACAACCAATCATTCTAATTGAGATTTATCAACCTTTAAACCCTTAATCAATTAAGTTACCTAATTAATACTTGTTGCTATTGGTAACCTGGGCCATTGAGGCCATTAACTTAGCCCCATGGAAGGTCAAATTAACTTCATGGCCATGGTTTAACAAAGGTACTAATCACTCAACACTAAAAATACATTTTAAAATGAACCTTAAAATATTAATATTTGAACTTTAATCAAATTGCCCCTTAAATCGTTCAACCAGCTAGAACATTGAACAACTTTTTAACTAATTGCCCAACTTAAGACATATCTAAGCCATAAACCCTATCTCACACACTTTAGAAGGTTTTCTTGGACAACCAACTCAAGTCTTAGGCTAGGCTGGTGTTTTACTTTCCTATTGTTGTGTGGCAAGTTTTTTGACTTTTCGTTGCATTATTGTTGTTTGAATTAAGTGATTGATATGATTATTTATTTATGTTTAATACAAATTATGAATTGATGTGATGGGCATTAGATTACCCTTAGTATAAGGATGATTTGGATACTAATACAACTTTTTTGTAGGTGGTCATGCTCACATAGGGCTATCAAATAAAATGGGAAAAAAATTAAACTTTTAATTAATAAGTTTCTATAGGTGCTACAATTGCTAAGTCCCCCTTTAAAATTAAGAGAGCTTGTCCAAGCATGATTGTGATTGAGTTTTAAATATTTAAATGAATATTAATTGCTTAGGATTTTGATTTAAATATTGTTTTTTTAGGATAACCTTTTAGGTTGTAATTTAGTTTATTTTTTTTATTATCTTCAATGTAATTTAATATATTT